TCCAGCCAACAACCAAGTCCAAACAGAGTTTCTCTGGTACATCCAGTTCTGTAAAAATAGTTTCCCTAGAGGCTGCAGTATCCCTTCTGGCCACCATAGGGTAGTCAGCTTGTCAATTCCTATGTAGCACCCCAACAACAACTGCAGAGGGATGCAAGATGGGGTGGTGTAGATTCAACCTATGCTAAGATCACCTTTCTCTTTGAATATTGAATGTTGCTCAAAATTATTAAAAACAAGAAAACTAGAGCTCTAGCCTTCATCCTACACCACTTCATACCTCCTCTCTCAGCCTACATTCACAAGACATAGGTACTCATCATATTATATCCACATTGGACATAGTGAAAATAAAAAGGAAAATGTTAAATGTTCCTACATGGACCCTTCTGCCTCTCACTTAACCTCTCAGTTCTTCAGGTGAGACCAGAGAATTCCCAAATTGCTCTCACTCACAAATCATGGGAAGGAAATAAGGGGGAAGAGATATTTATTTGGGATCCCAGATCCGGATAATGGAGTAGAAACAAGAGAAGGAAGGAAAAGTACTGGGATGGGGATGGGTTTTCTATCCAGAGTTCAACAATCTACTGTCTCAGGCTCTTTGGAACCTTTTCTTCTCCCCTCACTCTAATTTCTCTTTTCTCTACTATATGAATCACTTCCATAGTACTAGTCTGAGCTTTTTCTCCCTGGGTACTGGTCACAAAAGAGAGAGTATTGGGTCATGGTAGCATTCAACTGAGACTACTCACCAGTCCCAAAGAGTTAGCTGCCAGTATCCCACATGGTGAAGAACATTCCACAATACAATTGTTCTTGTTCTTCTCTGATTCCTATTTGTATCCTGACTTGCGCCTCTTTTCATTAGACTTTAAGGCCCTTGAAAGTCAGAGGGTGGGAAATGGGACCATTTCTCCCCTATCATAGACAAAGTTTTGCCCATCAACACCTTCCCTTCTTCCCAGTACCCAGAAAACAAATGTAGACTAAGGATAGATAAATACATAGACAGACAGATAAAGATATATCATAATCTGGAGTAAGGCACTGTTTTAAAATTGGATGGTTGACTACAGGTAGGATAGAATCTTAGATTGCCTGATCAAAGCTAGCCAGGAGGAAAGGAATGTTGGGTGGGGCCTATATATCAGTGGCAGAGGTGAGCTTGGACCGGTTTTTTTTTGTTTTTTTTTTTAAGCAGGAGATTCTAAATCCTCTTTGAAATTGAACTTTACTTACAGGGAAACCTTGGCAGAGATCACCAAAGCCTACATTGCCTGACCCTCTACTTAGCCATACTCCAACACATCAATAAAACCTAGCACTTCTCTGTTGGATTTGTTCAGCAGATTTAAATGCCTTCTTGTAATCACGGACACATCAGTACCATCCTAGGTAGAGCGATGGGACAATGGTGGTAAACTGGAACTCCAGAGAACTCTCAACACTCCAGAATTCATACACTACGTTTTTGTTTTTTTTGGGTTTTTTTTTTTTTTGGCTAGGCAATGGGGTTCAGTGACTTGCCCAGGGTCACACAGCTAGTAAGTTTTGGAGGCCAGATTTGAGCTTAGGTTTTCTTGACTTCAGGCCCAGCACTCTATCCACTGCCACATCTAGCTGCCCCTATGAAACTAACTTTTTAAAATACTTGAATGAATGGTCTGTTACTTGAAATTGAGATAAAAACTGGGAGGAAAAAAATAGCTTTTGCTTACACAGCATTTCCTCACAACGTCAAGTTGATCCAGTGCCACCTAGTTGCCTTTGATTAATTGAAATAGATGGTAAAAGCATATATACCATATGTGCAGGCTGTTTGTGTATTTAAAGGGTATCCCATGTGACACTTGAGGTGTTGCAGTAGCAATGGCAGCCCCCTTCTGCTACTAGGCAATCTTCTGTAAACCTAGCATCATTTCATTAATTAACCAGTGAAGGAGTGCTGTAATTTGTCCACCAGGTGGCACTATATTTCAGCCACCAGCCCAGTGGATGTATCAAAGTCTTACTGACTGACCTATAGGACAAGAGATCCCCTTCTAATGTTAACTATTCACTTTGCCAAACCACATGGCTCCATACTACTGGGCAAGAAACTCTTGCCAGTTGGAATGTCTGTAAGAAGAGAGGGGCAAAGGGATTTTTTACAAAAATTGCATTTTTTAAGTAAATTTTTTATTGATAGCTTTTTTTACATTACCTATATGTCCTATTGTATTTCTCCCTCACTTTACAGAGAGCTATCTCTTTTATGAATAAAGAAAAAAAAGTTGTGAAAAGCTGAATTTAACATAGGCTCTGCTCAGCTGATGGTTGGCAACTTTTACCATTTCCTGTCCTGTACCTGTCCTCATGGTTTGCCTTGGCTTCAACACTCTGGGGTTGCCTATCTTCTTTTTTTCAAAAAATTCTTTTTGTCTATCTTCTTAATAGAGGGATTACACCCCTTTCCCCCCACCTCACCCCAGCCGCCCCAATCTTCAATTCCATCCCAAACTCAAATTCTGAGGAACAATTCTAATTTTTCATTTAGTCTAAGGTGTCTTTTCCAGCAAAGAGGTAGGAATCAGCTTGTGGAACAAGGAATGTTAAGCAATAATCATTTGAAAAGGCTGATAATCACTTGAGAAGTGACATTTGAAAACAGATTTTTTTAGGACTTTTTTTTAAAGCAATTTTATATTTCACTTGCATTGATTATAAATCTATCAACCCAAACTGGAAACTTTTTGTCTGATAATCTCTCTCTCTCTCTCTCTCTCTTTCTCTCTCTCTCCTTTAGGCTAGTCTGTGTCTACTGTTATTGTAGCCCCAACTGCTCCAGGACTGGCTACTTCGCTGCATGGGTGCCTTGGAAGAGGAATATGCACCAGCACCAAAAGTCAAAGGAAAGAACACAAATGGGAGGCAGCCCTATCCCAGTCTAAGATCATCTAGGAGGCTCACGAGCTCAGGAATTTCAAGGAAATGGGGAAAGTGTACCCACCCCACCTGACCCATTGCAGAGCCCAGAATATCATCCTGATACTTCAAGACTGGCGAACAGAAGAAGTCTTGAGATTTGTATGTACTGATATAGAAATAAGCGAACAGAACCAGGACAATGTTTTATACAATAACAATAGGATAAAGACAGCAACTCTGAAAGACTTAAGGACTCAGACTTCCATTTTAGTATATCCACAAGTTTTGGGCCAACAGCCAATCCAAAAACTTTTTGTCATTGCCCATTGTATGAAGCCCATTAATCATCATGACTGACATTCAGAGAATATCTAAACCTGCCCTGAAATGTTGGGACACAATGAAAGTGCCTCCCTGATGTGTGTGTACATCTCTGGAAACATATTTACCCCAAGTTTCCATGATCTGAATGCCAATTGAGCATGCTCCAAAGGGTGGAGAAAGGAGTATTGTATAAACAACACATCAAAAAAATCTAACATGCAAAATCCCACACCCGTAGTCTCACACTTCTGCAAAGAAAAGAGAGGTATCTTTTTAAATTAACTTTTTTTCTCATTTAACAAAAATCTACCCTCTTCTGATCACACACACACTGGAAAAGAAAGAAAAATCAAGACGCTTGTAATAAATACACAAAATAAAGCAAAACAAATTCCTTCATTGGCTTTGTCCAGAAAAAGGTCTCAACCTGGACCATAAGTCTATCACCTCTGTGTCAAGAGGTGGATATCATTTTTAATCATTAGTCCTCTGGAATTATGGTTGGTCAGATTTCTTAAATCTTTTAAAGTTGTTTGTCTTTACAGTACTGTTATTATATAAATTGTTCTTATTCTGCTCACTTCATTCCTTTTTCAATTCATAAAAGTCTTCCCAGTTTTCTCTGAAAGCATCCCCTTTATCATTTCTTACAGTACAATAATAGTATTCTAGCTCACTCATATACTATAACTTTTTTCAGCCATTTCTCAATTGATATGCAAAGAAAAATCTTCTCATTTTTTTCTTTGGGGCCAAGCTTACAATTCTACAGCAGTCAATTTTGTTATTCTTTCCCTTTACATTGTTATAGTCCTTTCCTATTGTTTTCCTGGTACTGCTTATTTCACTTTGCATCAGTTCATATGTCTGTTCCTGCATCTTATCACATTCATTGTTTACTGCAGCACAGTATATTATATTCATGTACCACAATTTGGCTATTCTCCAACTGACTGGCTACAGTTCTTTGCTACTATAGAGTACTATCATAGATACTTTCTTTTTGTCACTGATCTCCTTGGGGTACACGTTTTACAGTAGAATTTCTGGGCCAAAGAGTATGGATTAGTTTTAGTCACTTTGCGTAATTCCAGATTGCTTTCCAAAGTACTTGTAGCAATTCATAGATTCAATTATTATCTTCTGTAAAAATAATTTTTTTCCATAGGATCTCTAGGCCTACTTTCACAGACAAGGCAGGATGTGTAGTGCGCTTACGGTCGTGAATTTAATCTATTTACACGTTTATTTAATATTCACAGTGGAAAGGCCTTCATAGTTGCCATAGAAACTCTTTAAGGGTCTTTGAAACAAGATGGTGGCCGGGGGCCGTTTCACTCTAGCCTCCGATTGTAACTCTATGGTAGGTCGGCGGTGAACAGCTGGATCTGGGAAGCGAGATTTCGTCGCGCACACGCGCACTGAGGACTCAAGAAGACAGATTGGAAAGCGACTTCGTACGCAAGTCTGACACCCGTTCTTCTGGGTTTCGGCGGGGGCAGGGGAGGAGAGGGAGATACACTGCGGGTTGACTGAAGCACATGCGCAATAACAGGAGTGGTGAAGCTTGGGTGGGGCGTTCTCTGGAGGCTACCGGAGCTGGAGTGGCGAGGTCTTTCCAACGCACAAGCTTACTGGCGACGTCGGCAAAGGAAGGCGTGGGCGGCCTAATACGCATGCGCCCTGAAGGTGCAGACTTAGGAGGGTGTGGCGAGAAGTGAGGCTTATTGCGCAGGCGCAGGGGCTACCTGGTTTGGTGAGAGGGTTTAGGCGAGAACGCGGGGTGGGGGGGGTGGGGATGAAATGCGCTTGCGCGTTGTTCGAGGAATGGGAGTGCTGGGGAACTTCAGAAGAACAGAATGCGCAAGCGCATTAAACGATAGCTGGGTGGGTGGGAGGGGGGAGAAGCGGGGAGTGAGCCAGTGCGCCTGCGTAGTGCGGGGGTGGAGCGCGGAGGGGGTGGGGGGAGAAGAAGGGGAGAGCGCCTGCGCGGCTGTCAGACGGCTGCTTGGTTGGTCAGTGGGGAGCCAGCGCCTGCGCACTAGGACCCGTGTGCAGCAGCAGCGGCAGCGGCAGCGGTAGCGGCGGCGGCGGCAGCAGTAGGCTTGGCGGTAGCGGTTGAGCTTGCGGCGGGCGGACGGGGGTCCAGTCGGTACGTTCGCACGAGGTGAGGGCGGGTAGTATGCGCGTGCGCAAATGCCCCAGTTGGGGAGGCTGAGAGGAAGGAATGGAATGGAGTGGAACGGAGGGGCCAGCGGACAGGCGGGGGAGGGGAAGGGCTGACGGTCGCCTCGCGGGGCCCGAACTGGGAAGGGAGGGTTGGGGTAAGAGCGCGAAGGAAAGGGCGGGAGCGCGCGCTCACCCTGCGGGTCTGGCGCGTGGTGCGGCGGTTACGGTCCGGGCGGGTGACGTTGGCGCGACGCAGGGTGAAGGGGGGGGGTGTTGGGGGAAGGTTGAACGGCGAGCGCGGGGCCGCCACGCTGGAGAACCTGGAGCAGAAGACCACGAGGGGACCCGAAGATTGGTTTCATCTCGCGGGATAGGGAGGGAATGAGACCACGTGGGTGAGTCGGAGGGGGGAGGAGGAGAGAATGAGCCACACGGGACCGTTGGGGTTGGGATTGGGACCTGGGGAGGGATTTGGGGTCGCCCCACGGGGACACGTGAGATGGGGGAGGGATTGCTCTCAGGGTCGGGGGTTGGGCACGTGAGGGCTGTGGTGGGGCACGCGGGGAGAAGAGGCATAGGAGAGCTAAGAGACTTGGGGGAGGGGCTTCTGGGGTACAGGAAGTTGGATTTGTGGGGGGGCGCGTTGGGGGAAATCCCTCGGTTTCCCTCTGCTGGAGAAGGTGGCTCTGAGTGGGAGGGAGGGGGACTGTAAGGCCACATGGCCTAGGTTAGGTAGTGAGGGAGGGGGCAGGAAATCCAAGGCAGAGGGGGACCCCATGGAGGTGGCTAGGACTCTGCCGCATCGTGGGTTTGAGGCCTCCAACAGAGGGGTGAGGGGCCCAGGGTAGGGAGGCACCAAAGGGAGGGCAAGGGAGACGCCAGGCCATTTTTCCATCCCCCAAAATCCAGAGTGAGGTCCAGAGGATAAGCAAAGAAGGGGGAACATTTAAAGGGAGAGGTATATGAGACAAAATTAAGGGGGCCAAATTGGCAATTGGGGTTGGTCTCACTATCAGTACTAGTATATAAAGTAGATTGGACAGGCTCCTGTTAGCATATGTTAACTGTCACTTAGGCCTCATACCATCCTGTTGTATAGCCTGCCCCCTTTCCCTTTTGAAGTGAGAGAATTGGATTTAAATAAAACTATCCCAGAAATTGGAGATGGTAGGGGAAAGGAGGCATAAGGAAGAGACTATCTCAGTGATAGAAGGAAAGGATTTGAGGGGGGAGGTGGCTTTGCTCCCTCAGCCCTTGGCAAATTTAATCTATTTGCATCATATAAAGAGAAGTGGGGCAGAAAAGCATCTTCCCTTACTAATTTTGGGTAGTACTTTATAACCTTTATTGAGTTCTCAAGCCATGACACAGTTTTCCAGATGGCCACCCGTTTTTTTCATATCTCCATCCTTTCCTAAATGAGGACTTTTGTCTCCCTGTTATCTTTTTGAATATATTCAGTGAAACCTTAACACCACTAGACTAGCCCTTTGGTTGGATTTGTAACCCCAAACTTACCCCATGTGCTGCCAGGGCCTTAGGCCTATTTCAGTACAGGTGCATGCTGGGAAAAGTGGGAGGGCCCCTGGGGGAGGCCTGGTATTTGGGTTTCCTGAGGGAGCTGTGACTGGTTGTTTGTCAGAGGGTGAGTGGACCTTTTTCCTTTCTCCCCTTCCCCAGACAAAAACTGTTAGCTTAGGTTTGGGTGACTGGGAATCTCCCTGGCTAAGGTGCCATTTGGATTCCTATACCTCTGGTAGGTGTAGGGGTGTGTGTATGACAACTGTGGGTGGAGCCCTAAGCTCTGAGTCTCCACCCAGTCCCCTAGCATTAGCCCAACTCCACCCAGTTGCTCAGAGCTCTTTAATTAATTATAGCCCTGACTCCCTTATTTGGGGGGGGGACAAATGGGGGAAAGGAAAAATGGATTCTTCCTTGCTGGGACTCTATAAGTATTAGTCTAAATCTCTTATTCTCTAGTTTAGATACACAGTTATCTGTTCTGTCTCCTCTGCCCTCCCAGTTCTTGGCCTTTCATAAGATCCAGGAATTAGGGTATCATTGGGGGAACAGTCATAGCAAGCCTTAAAGAACTATTAATATCACCCTTTTTCTCTCCTCCCCCTATCAGTTGGAATAGACATCTCTCAAAATGGCAGATGACCTGGACTTCGAGACGGGGGATGCAGGGGCATCAGCTACCTTTCCCATGCAGTGCTCTGCCTTGCGCAAGAATGGCTTTGTGGTGCTCAAAGGCCGGCCCTGTAAGATAGTTGAGATGTCCACCTCCAAGACTGGAAAGCATGGCCATGCCAAGGTCAGAAACTCCTTTCCTCATTTTGTTTTTTGTTTCCTGGCCTGCTTATATCCTTTATAGCTTGCCTCCTTTTGGCTTTTCCCAAACTTGCTTTCTGCACCAGATGACTAGATCTCTGGTACCTTCAATCTTGCCTCTCTGGCTTCTTAACCAACCAGTACTTCAGTATTTTGCATTTCTGCTCCTCCAGCTTGACCTTCCTGTCTCTTTCAACCTCTGGATTCCTCTGAGAATCCCTTTCCACCATTTGGCTTCATTCGATAGCCTCTTTTATTCTTTACCCTAGGTTCCTGGCTTCCTCTTATTTCCTGTTTTCCCTACCCTTTAAACCCTATTTAGATTCTTGTGTTTCTACCTAATTGCGTAGTTTAGCTTTTTGTCTATCCTAGATGCAACCTTTCCTCTGATATATGTTTCATCCAGGGTCAGAACAAGCTAAAGGAACATTATGTCCAATATGTGCTGAAATTTCAGGGTTTTTTGTCCATATTTACTTATGTCTTCATCCTACTTTTGCGTCTGAAAAACTACCTCCTGTCTTTGATAACTGAGCCTGTTCAGTGTAGACTTTCCCCAGTGTCATTCTTCTCACCCAAGTCCTATAATTTTTCTTTTATCAGTCTCTCTATATCTGTGCCCAGGTGTCTGCTTTCCTTCCTATTCCTTTAACACCCTCAGACATAGCCTGTTTTCTAGGCTTTTCAGCTTTTTGCCTCCTGGTGGTCATTTTTCCAGCCCTAGGAGGTTGGGGACTATGTATATGTGTCCCAAACTCTACCCCTTCCCATTTCATTTCGCAGTATCATAGAAACACATTCTTTCCTAAGTGTCCAGGTCTCTTATCCTTCTGACTCTTGATTCCTTGTACCCTTTAAACATACTCAGTTTTTGGTTCTTTCTCTCCTTCTCTGTTTAGTTACTCTGGTTAACTTTGGTGCCACCTATTTTTGTCTCTTTATGCCTATCTCTCTGCTCCTCTTTCCCTTCTTGGGACCATTACTTCTCACTGCCATGACTGGCCTGACTCATTTGGGAAAGGAGGGAGAGAATCTGTAGCTATCTCCCTCCCCATGTCAGAAATTGCCGATTTCCTTCTTAACATGATACACATACATATATATATGTATATATATACATATCCAGGTTCATCTGGTTGGTATCGATATCTTTACTGGGAAGAAATATGAAGATATCTGCCCTTCAACCCACAACATGGATGTGCCCAATATCAAGAGAAATGATTTCCAGGTATTTGGAAAGGGGTTGAACCAGAGCACCTAGGTTTTGGGGATGCTTCAATATGAGAAACAAAAGTAAGATTTTAAAGTAAAGAGATGTGGAAGAAAAGTCAGGCCAAGTAAGGGGTGGGATTCATGATGGAAAGTGGAATGAGAGTTGTTTTGATTGCCTATCCCTTATTTTCTGTCCCTAGCTGATTGGGATTCAGGATGGCTACCTGTCACTGCTCCAGGACAGTGGGGAGGTGAGGGAGGACCTTCGTTTACCTGAGGGTGACCTTGGCAAGGAGATTGAGCAGAAGTATGATTGTGGAGAAGAGATCCTGGTAAATCCTAATCTTCCTTTTTTTTACCCTGTGTTTTGCAATTCCAATGCTTGTAATCTTAAAGTGAGGAGTTTTAAACACTGATCCCTTTTCCTACAGATAACGGTGCTGTCAGCCATGACAGAGGAAGCAGCTGTTGCAATCAAGGCCATGGCAAAGTAACTGGCCCCCAGGTGGGTAGAACCCTATTTTCTTTGCCTGTGGGTCCTCCCTACCGCCACCCCAAATCCTTTGCTGTAGTACTTCATCTATGTTGCAGAGTGTGTATTGGTTGTCCTAATCTTTTCTTTCTGTATTCAGGGTGGTGGTGGCTGCAACAGCAGCAGCAATCGGCGCCTGAAGAGGCCTTCCCTTTCCTCCCCAGCCTGGTCAGGCTTTGGCCCCACCCTGGCTGGACATCTACTCTATTTCTTTGATGTTTTATTTTGGTTTTTTTTTCTCTCAATCTGGGGAGCTCCCCCCCCCCCCACCCCTTTAGTCCAGCCCTATCTCCCCCAACCCCTCGGACAAGATGGGGGCAGGGCCTTGGTAAAACTGCCCCCTTCTCTCCTCCACCTCACACTACAGCCCTGGTGGGGGAGAGGGGATGGGGGCTCCTTGAGATTTAGTTTTTTTCTTTTTTATTATTGAATCTGGAAGCAGAAAGCTGTAGATTCTGGATTCTGGCAAAAATCCTCTGCCCCCTCTCCCTACCCATCCTGTCTGGCCCCCTGGTTCCCTATACCTCACCTAGCACCACTCCCTCCTCCAGCAGGGGACCAGCCCCCCCCCCCCCCATCTGCCTGTGCCCCATCTACCCCAAATCTCTTTAGTGGGAGAAGGGACAGGAGTGGGGAGGGGCTCTATTCCCCTCCTCAGGCATCCAGGAGGGCCCCTAGCACCCATGGGCCCTACCCCTCCTTTCAGTTTTCTCCCTGACCCATTTGTTAAAAATCAAACCTGAATAAAACTACAAGTTTAATATGACTGCCCACGTTTTATATACTTCTTCTAGGGGAAACCTAGTTTACTTTCTTAAGGTTTTTTATCACCAGGATTCCTGACACCAAGTGGGCAAGACTGGGAACAATTCAGACAGCAGGAAACAGGCTCTGATGGCAGTTTTAACTTTATTAGTTGGAGAACTGGGGAGGCAGGACATTGCCCTGAGTTAAGTTACTTGTGATAAAAACGTTGGTTCTGGCTGTGCTGAATAAAAGGGAGACGGGGGCCTGGTTGGCTGGTGGCTGCAAAGCTTGACTGTTGTGAACAAAACAGAAAGTTTTTAGTGTCAATAACCCCATTCTCAGAAAGTCTGAATCCCACTTGAATCCTCACCTTTCCTGATGGTTGCATCTGTACAGGAAGCTGGGGTGTGGCTAAAAGCCCAGGGGTTGGGTGTAGAGCCTGGGGATGCATGGGGCGCAGAGAAGACTGTAACATATGACAACAGGTCAGCATTTTAGGATTATTCAAACTTTCCTATAAAACCACCCCCTGAGAATAGGGTCTCACCGAATCAGAGAAGCCAGATTGCTGGTTAGCATGTTCCAGCTGCTTCTGAAGGGACAGGGCATTGCCCGGTTGCAGGAACCCTAGGACAAGAGGGATCAATCCAATGAGTACAGGAAAAAAACATGAAATCAGGGAACAGCTTAGAAGGATCCACAAGTGGCATTACCTGTTTGTGTGGGCTGGTAGTGGCCGTGTACTGCATAGGACTGTGGCTGAGGTTGTGACAAGTACTGAACTGCAGGAAAAGCTGAAGGGGCTGAGGGGAGAAGGTTAGATGCAGATAAAGAGGCTACACCCACAAACCAAATTCCTCACAAGCAAAAACCTTCACTGCCCCCTGCCCATTTCTAGTTCTGTTTGCCCTCACCTCTGAGCTGTTGGCTGGGACTATAACCCGGCTGGGTAGGTCCATAGTGAGGTGGGGGCTGGGCTGCCCCATAGGCTCCTCCTGGACTGCTCTGGAATTGCCCGTGTTCTGAGGTTCCTGCAAAAGCTGTTGACCCCACAAAATGACGGGTCTGGAAAAGATGGGGAGAGTTAAGATTGGAAAGTGTTCGATTATTAGGTACGAGCTAAATACAACACACTGTACAACGAAGTATAAATTATCTGACCTTGACAGCTGGCCATTACAATTTATACACATGTCTGTATTTTTAAAATAAGGAAACCGGTTCAGAGAGACTAAATGTCTTGCACAGGAAGTGTAAGATGTTATCTCAAGTCCATTACCTCATCTACCTCTAACATAAATCACAACTCTATAATATAATTTATGATTAGGGAAGGTTACATTGATATTTTTACCTTCATCACAGCACATTAAATGCCACCATGCTGGGGATCCCTCTCTGCTTACCGTAAGCACTTGGGGTCCAAACATCTGCTTGGCCCTATCAGCAGACATAAGAGTTCCTGGTCTGCTGTGTCCTCCCGGGCTGCCTATGAGGAGGTGTGGGACTCAGAAGAGTGCAGGCTCTCAGGAGGTCTCAAACCACCTCCATGATCCTTGCCCAACCTATACCCACCCTTTCCCCTTGTCCACCTCACCCTGCATGCTGAGAAGATGTGTCCCTGTGTGTACAGCCAGACCTTGTTGGTATGCTGCAGATGTAAGTGTTGTCAAGTCACTGAAGGGGAAGTAAGATCAAAGACTTACTATCAAAAATTATAGATTTAAAACTGGAAGGAACCTTACAAGTTTTACAGATGAAGAAACTGGGGTCCAAAGAAATTAAATTATCTAAGATTTATATAAGTGGCAGAGTTAAGACAAGAACCTGGGTGCATTCTTCCTCTTCTCAAAACTAGGTTCCCTTTTCACAAAGCCATACCTTAGTCTAGGCCCTGTCTCCCTCCATGTCTCCCACCTTTGCTCCTTACGGCGCCTTTTCTCCTCCTCATGTAAAACTTTCTTGAGCTGCAGGAAGAGCTGGTGCTTCTCCTCTTGTAGGGCCAGGAGCTTCTCTTGCAATTTAAGGATCTGGGAGGATCATGGAAACAGTGAAAGGTCTGCCAGAATGGAAGGGGGAGCAGGGTGAGTAAAGAACTAGAGATTAGTAGTGTGTGTGTGTGTGTGTGTGTGTGTGTGTGTGTGTGTGTGTAAAAATCTGCTTACCTGTTCTTTGGTCTCTTCCAGTGACATCCTTTCTTCCATTTCCTTTTTCTTCCTCCTCTCTTGTTCCTCCTTCATTTTCTGTTCCATCATCTTGTCTACCTCCTCTTCCTCTGAGGGAGGGGCATGGAGTTAAAACCTTAAAGCTAGAAGGGATCTCAGACACCAAGCCCTCATTTTAAACACAGAAAATAGGCCTAGATAGGGAAGGTGATCCCACAATTCGAGGTCCCACAACTATGGGAATCGACAACTTGGGGCAGTGGTCCTGGAGGCAGGAAAGTTTTCAAATCTGGCCTCGGACACTCTCAGCTGTGTGACCCTGGACAAGTCACTAAACCTGTCTGCCTGAGTTTCCTCAACTGTGAAATGAGAAAAATTGCACCTTTCTTGCAAGGCTGCTTATTCCTTCCCTCCCTCTCCCACCGATATCTAGGGGACACATCTCTAACATGCAAAGCTCAGTCTGGGATTGCAATGTGTTGCTGCTCCCTTGGAACCCTGAGCTAGCTAGCACCCTCACTCACCCTGTCTCTTCCTCTCCCGCTCCATCATTATGTGTCGATGCAATGCCCTAGCCATGGCGTTAGAGAGCTTGGGGCGTTCCAGAAGGGCCGGCATGGTGACCCGCAGGATGCTGCCACACAGACTGGAGTGCGGATCCTGAGACTTGATCACTGACAATCCAGTCCCAGAAATGAATCTAGTCACCCAGCAGAAATCTGGTTTATTGGGGGATAAGCATTATCACAGAGGTGTAGAAGGGCTCCCACTCGCGGAAGGGGGGACCTGAGAGCCCTCCCCACCACCCTGAAGAAATGAGGTGGGAAAACCAGGCTCCACCGCGATCCGGCAGCGAGGCCGGGAAGGGGGGCGGGCTGAGCTTCCTGCTCCTTGGAGAGGGCGAGGGTCTCCCTGCCCCGACCCGGCTCTCTCCGCTGGGTCCCGAAGGCGGGTGGGGCCGGAGGGCGGGGCCGCTGAGAGCATCGGGGTTCCGGAGGCGATACCGCTGGGGCGTGTGGGGCTGGTCACGTGCTTCTCCCGTCAGGCGCCCCGCTACCCCCTTGAGCCCATCACCTGCTCCAGTAAGCGGGGTTGGGGTCGAGTGCCACACTGGGTTCCCCACCCTCCCCACTTGTCCAGCAGCTACCAGCAGTGACCCTGTTCTGCGCAGGCGCGACCAGGGTCCGAAAATCTCGGATTAGACCTCCAGGCCCCCCAGCCCCTCCCTACCTACCTCCGCTTCCTTCTCACTTCAGCCCTCCTACAGGCCTCAGGGACTTCGTCACTTCCTGATTCGTGGGAAAGTACTTCCGGGGGGCACAGATGAGCGATGGCGAAGCTTTGCACGCTGCCAGGGGTGGGGGAGGGGAAGGGAGGGGAGGGGAGGGGCGGAAGAGGCTTGGGAAAAAGGGGGAAACTACAGCGGCTGCGCGTGGTACTCAGGGTTTGGGGTAACCAAACTACGGCGCTTGGCCTGCGCCCCGAGAAGCCGTGAGGCGTGTAGTACACGTAGGGGGCAGTGGAGTGGAAAAAAGGATCCAAAGCTACTGGGCTATTTTGAGGGGTGCCCCGCTCTTCCAGCATGTGACCTTCCCGCCTCTACTCCCAGGGCGGGGAGGGAGGAAATGGGAGGGGCTTCTTCTCCGAGAAAACCCACCCCTGGCGCAGGGGCAAAGGAGCTGATAAATTGGAAGAGACCCTAAAGAAATTATTTAGTTCATTTTCCGCATTTTACAGATGAAGGCCCACAGAGATAAAAAGCCAGTATCATACAGTAGTAAGCGGCCGGGCCAGACACGTGTCCCGTAACCTTCAATACACTGCCCAGTGTTTCCCAGTCCCAGTTACCTGGGAGGCCACAGAAGGAACAGTGCTAAAGAACTTCGTAACTAAAAAGAATTAAAGGAGTCAGGGTCTCAAGTCCGTATCACTGTTTCACCCCCAAAGTAAGTGGAATCAAGGTACAATCTATCTGTTGACCCTTAGGTACAAGGGAAGCAAAGGTTCTGTGATAATCTGGGGAATTGAGGTCAGCAAAGACATTCGTGCCGAGAAAGGTTTAAGATCAATTCTTTTTTTCCTAAGAATTTCTAGGTGCAAACGGCATTAAGAGAGAAGACAACTTGACTCCACACTATGCTGTCAGGAACACAGAAATGACAGCATAAATACAGAAAACTGAGACTACAGGGTTCCTGCCTGATAATAACTAGCATTTACTTAGTTGTTTTTTTTAAGGTTTGCAAAATGCTTTACATGTTAACACTGATCTTCACAACAGCCTTGTAAAGTAGATGTCCTTATCCCCATTTTGCGATCAGTAAAGTGAGACACAGAAAAGTTAAAGTGATTTGCCCAGGCTCACACAGCAGCTACGAAATGTCTAAGGTAGGATTTGAACTCAGGTCTTCTTGACTCCAAGTCCTACAGTTTGTCCACTGGGACACCTAACTGTCTACATTTCCTTAGAACTCTCTTACGTTAAAATTTCCCTAGGTAAGTGCAAGTGGAGACTGGGACAGACAAGGTTGTATCTGAGACAGGACGTTTATTTCAGTTAAGAAATCAGAGTATGTAACAGCTGTACAGGGGTGGCCCCTTCTCCCCCAGCTATTCCTTCCCACTGGAAAAAGTTTCAACGGAGAGGGGAGGGAGACAACTCCTCCTGGGGATTCACATTAACCAGAAACAACGGAAATAAATTAAGTGATGGGAGTTTCCCCAAATCAGTGCATAAGGAGAGGAAGGGAAGTAGTGGGGTCAAGCAAGAGTTCATTGGGGGAGGCCTTCCAAATTCAGTCCCCATGGACTTCCCCAATTAATAGAGAAGTGTTCTGGACCATCACAATTCCCCCAAATCTGTGGGCAATCCCCAACCCAGGACAGCTACTCCCCAAATTGGGAACTCCTCCAAACAAAAATGCAAAGCCCCCTGGAAATCTGGGGGAGCTCCCACCGTGTCCGCTGTCTTCCCTGGGAATGGCTGGGGGAATATATAAAAAGTTGGTGCTTCCCAAGTCCATAAACCTTCCCTGCTGTTGTGCTTGGCAATATGGGCCCATATCCTCTCACTCCACTCGTACCAGCAAGGCATAGAGTAATGTGGCACCCTTTTCCTTGGTCACCCACTCAAGCTCAGCAGGGCTAAAGTGGGGGTCAGGGGGACCCCCAACTGCTGTAGAGGGTGGGCCAGGTGTGTAGGATCCAGGACGTACACACACCTGGAATGCCACCTGGGCCTGGTAGGGCCTTTGAGATTTGGGGTCCCGGAATCTAAAGACAAGAAAGAAGGAAGGGCCTGTTGGGACAGTATGAGGAAAAAAAAACCCAACATAGGATGGAAAGGGTGGAAACATAGTGGAAAAACTGTGGAACAGAAGGAAAGAAGGAAAGGCACTGGGGAAACCAATGGGCAAGGGAAAATAGGAGGAGAGATTAGAACCAAAATCCAACAGAAACAAGATGGGTTTAAAAAAAAAAGAGAGAAACTGGGCTACAGGGACTTCCCTCCAGGTTTCACCAATATCCCCATTCCTTAGTTACCCCAACTTCAGTCCCCACACCCTCTATTCTCCTTCACTCACTGCACTTTGGAAGCAAGGGCATCAGTCCCAGCAGCATGCCGAAGGGAGGGGGAAAGCAGCACAGGAGGGGGCTGCTCCTCACGAGGAGGGACGCAGTTTTCACCAGATTCTCCATATCCACACCCTGGCTCTGCCTTTAAAGGCCGACAGCTTAGGATTGAAGCACTGCCTGAAGGTAAAGGGTAATGGTTAGGGGTCTTCCCCTTTATTTCCCCCACCCCAATTATTCCCCTCAGCATCATCCTTCAACTTTGTCCTGTCCCATTACCTGCCCCGAGCTCCCCTCGGTCTAGCACCCTCCGAACAGCCCCAACGCTACTCCCATGATAGGCCATGTGCCACTTCTTGGATAGTGTTGCTGTCTCCAATCGTGGATTCACTCTGCAGGAAAGAAATGTGTATGTCTGTCCTGACCTTGATGATCTCAAAGCCCTTTCTCTTCAGAGAGGACTTGTTCTGTCCAATTGTCTTGCTGAAAACTGCCTGGTAAGAAACAGCAGCATAGATCTAGAAAGACTCAGAATTTAAACTAGGGTCCTCCACCTCCCAGGCCAGGGCACTTCTAATTGTTATCATACCTTTTTTTTTTTAAAATTCTGAACTTAAACATCAAATAAAATAGGTATTTGCACTTATATAACAGAACAGAAAGAGAAAGAAGCTGCAGATTTCCATTATATACAGCTTGTTTTTTGTTTTAGGTGTTCAACTTGTAGCTTTGTCCTGCTTTTATTCTCCTGAAAAAAATAAAAGTTTCTCCAGT